TGCTGAGCCCTTGAAGTGGGGCGGAACTTAACACGGCGGTGCAGACAAAAAACAAATCAGCAACTCCGTTCAGCCCCGATACAATTCGGGCTCCAATATACGGATCGATCCGTAAAGAAGTTCCCTTCGAACCTCATGGCTGGGGATGGGCGGGACACAGGATAAGCTTAGGATCTTTACCGAACATTCATGTGACGTAACCCCGAAAGGGGGATTGCACTTTGCCGAATGGAGATAATTGAGGCCGCTCCTTTATCTCTCTATATATTATAGAAAAACCAACTTTTCCGAGTAAAATGCCCTGTAATGTGACCTCACATGATATCACATGCACCTCATCAAATCCATGAACAGGCTCTGTGGTCTGTATGGTATTAATCTCCAGTCTTTTCTTTACAGATGTTTTCTACTGTATTTACATTCTTTATACTCTTCTCTACATTCATTAATATACTTCATTTATTATAGAAAAACCAACTTTTCCATGTAAAAAACACTGTAATGTGACATCATGTACATCCTATCAAAAATATTTGAATACTCTGACTCATACAGCTCAGATCAATCTTCAAATCTTCATTCTTTTTTTTATTCTGCTTCTTTCATACATTCTCTACAGTACTTACATTTCTTATACTCTTCTCTATGTTCATTTTGTCAAATGCTCTGTAACATGATCTCATATGATGTCATATGCACTTCTTTGAATTCAGATGAGATTGAAGAGCTGGCTCTGCAGCCTGTACAGCTCTGATTAATCTGATAATGGTGATGGAGATGATATAGGATGGAAGAGAGTGATTAGGGTGATAGGGGTGGTCGGGGTGGTAAGAGAGAGGTAGAGGGGTAGGGGTAGAGGGTGGAAGTGGTAGGGGGGGCTGCGCAAGCAGCAAAGCGAGCGTAAGCGAGCGTTTGATGCTTGTAATAATGATGACCAAATATGGCCTGCTGCATTTGCGTCCATTATTGCTTACTCGCCGTGCTGCGGAAATGTCCTGCCAAATCCTGGCGGCAAAACGGGGCGGTGGAAGGTGTCGCAACCTAGACCTTAATTGAATGTACAGTACTCCGTACATACATGTAGTTCTATCTGTTGGTTTTGAATTGGCGACAGTCATCCACAACTGAAACGTGTTCATCCACCGTATTCTAGGTCTATAGGCGCCGCTTTGGATTATTCATGTCCCCATACTATCGGATCTCATTTAGTCCGGAGTCTGGATAATGGTTTGTTGAAGTAATGATTGAAAATTTTCCGCTGCCGGAAGATAGATGGGCTCTTGTCGAAATCCTCTGATTGAGTCTTACTTCCAGTAGTGGGATTATCTCCGAACACAGTCATCCTGACACATGATGACCAAGAAAAAATAAGCAACTGGAACCTTTCAAATAATGAGATAGTCAATGAAGTGCTGGATCTTTTTTCCTTTGACACTCAACAACCATGGCAAGGGGTAGATTCTAGACTTAACCCGGCCTGCTTCTTATGCTTCCGCCCCGACAAGCGTCGTCGCTAGCCGTGTGTTTTCTTCACATAAAAGCAAAAAACGAGGAAGATACAACAAAGCTTTGCAAGAACCACAAACGCTGTCCCTGTCGAGACTTTGATGATAGCCAAATTGGCGCCATGGCGCTGAAACCTCAAGTCACTGACGACGCACGGCCCTCCACTGCTTGGGGGAGCCATGGGAACCGTAAAAAGTAAACATACAAAATCACGGTCGCCCCGCTCGCTTAAAAGCTTGGCCGATATTTGCCGGCCCCACGTTTTAACTTTAAAATCTTAAAGGAACTCTAAGGAAGATGTTGGGGCTAAGGGCGACGATTCGCATCCCTCAAACCTGCTTAACTTGTCCAAAGCAGAACCTTGCAAGTGCTATATACATGTACGCATGCATAATATATCCAAGCTTGGGTCCTCCTTGGGACTTGAAAAACTGTTCAACTGAACTGGATACAGAGCCCCCTGGTCTTGAGGTATGGTTACAGGAAATTTGGCGCTTTCAATCAGGTAAACATTTCACATCCAAGGTGATCGGTGACCTCATCCCCGATTTATGAGCCTGGAAATAGCTTTCGCTCTCGAACGCCACTCATACCAAATAGGGTCCAGACTAATCCTGGCGTTCTCTAGGAACATTATTATTTTCACCGGAGCGCTTTCGTTTCAGGGCGATCGATGGCTTGACCAACTTCCCCCAGAGCTATTATGAGGAAACTACGCCACGCCACCCCGCCTGGAAAGCATGGGAAGAATTACTACTATGTATGTATGTACCCGAAGAATCGGGGCAATTTCATCACTATTATTGTTGTTAATAAATACTGGAAAACAATAATACGAAACCGATGGCCGCAGGCCACTCCTTAGCATGAGGATTCATTCATTAGTTTATTATTACTCTTTTCTTAGTAACTCGTCTCTCCCAAACCCGGGTGGAGCAACATCAGGTGGAGCAACATGGATGTCATATTAAAGTTAACTTTAAATTACCACTACTAGCCTAGCATGTTACTAGCGCAATAACTTTGAACGCATTTATTCCATGCCATATGGCGCTTTTCAGGTGTTAGTGTCGTATTAATGTATGTATGCGTAATACGGAAATCCACATAACTTAGACTCTCATCTTGGATACCAGATCTTGGAGCGTAACGAACTGAGTTGAAGTCAGCGAAGTAGCCAAAACATTACAGTCCAAATAATCTGTACAGTAGCAATCTTGTTCACAGTTCTTTATTCTCTTTCCAGTCTCACGCTGGATGAGTGTGTAACTGGCCATCAGCCACGAAAGGTCTGCATCACAGAGAAGATGCTACGAGACCTCTAAAAATGCTATATCCGTAGGACTTGTGAAGCTGAATTTGCTCACTGAACCTATCAGCGCAGCTTCAAACGGCCGAAATTTCCTAAGATTAGAAATTCAGCCTCAGCTGACAAACTCCAGATCCCGTGGAAGGATTCACCTCCGATCCTACGAGCAAGACCAGTCTTTGACTCTCTTGATTTTCTAAGCTACTGGTAGTAAGGATATTAGCGAGTGCTTTAAATGGCGCAGGCGTTGCATAGCTTGCGAGCTGTATTCTGGAGATCACATTTCTCAGAGGCAAGTGAACTTTACTAATATGTGAATGTACCGTGACCATATGGAGGCCCATGCTGATACAAAATAGTCAGCGCGCCTATATTTTTTTTAGCAATTTAGTGTGACATATTGATAAATTTTCTCCAAGATAGGTTTTCAAGCCTGCACGGCGATCGAGCGATTGAACACCGGGTACATCTTGGCAACCTTATGTCACCCTTGAAAATGTTTCAACTCAGATATCACAAATCTAGTGTTACCTGAGTGATCTCTTTCCGACAGAGAAGAAGAAGTTAATAGGCATATCGATAGGTAAAGGGTAAGCTGAAAATAGAGTGATTGGATAGAATGTTTTAGGTAGCCTGCAGGATGCTAGTAGACCCACATTCTATGAGGAATGATTACTTACTATTTTAACTTGTGCAATCCTCCGTTCTTCTGTCAACTTGGCTTTACCTTGTCGGGGAGCGCAGCAAACCGGATTCTTGATGCCGATACAGAAAACAATACGGGCCACAGTAAGGATTGCGATTCCCAGCCAGTCGAGATACGCCTTCCGCTGCGTGTTAACATTCGTCAGCAATTTATCCTATTTGTAGAGGCACTGTTCAACAATACCATGCAGCCATATCATCATGATCCTGTGGGCAGCCGCCTGTAACAGGCATTTGCTAGCTTCTCCTGCTGAGAATTGAAAGAGACACCACGAAAGTCCATTTATTGGTATTTTTATTTGGTTAAGATGATGGGCGCTTATTCGCAGATACAAACATGCAAATTGCACTTTCTGACAGCCACAGCTTGTGGAGCTATTTCATCTTCTGTTGTATTAGTGCTTGCACATATCTCAGAACCCATGTTTGAAGTGTACATTTCGTAGGGATTGAACACAATAATCAGAGCTGTGCAATACCTAGTCCTCGGGATAAAAAGCTGAGAAATAGATTTCGATGGAGTGAGTGGCTTTGCAGGACGAGATCGAGTACATACTGTAATCTGTACAATGCCCGGAATTAGGACAAGGCCTTTGGTAATAAAATGCACCCTGTCACATTTTCTGCTTTCTGGCTGTAGCGTAATGTATGTACTGCACCATAGGTTGTACAGGGTTTATCATTGTCATGGTTGGATCTTTCTAACTGAAATTCTTATGGCCTTATCTTCGCTCGCCTATTGGACAGAAAGTTCAGGAATTGGGCAAATTACGCGCAAAGAATGTATGGCGCTACAGCTCCAAGGTTAGTTATGCCTCTTTACTGTGTTGGCACAATACACTGTGCCTAACTTTAACCCCTGCAAAAGAATGTATGGTGCATGTACTGCGTACTACCTGCTCCAGGTCCACCAAGGCGTGGATTTAAACTTAAGCTTCCTATGTTGCGGGCTCAACCATGAACCGAAGGAGCGTGGGCCACCCAAACAATAATGCAGCTTGTAGCAAAAACTCATTGCTCAGATTCATTAAACCCCTTCTCCCACATAGTTGGTGATTTTTGTTTTCCCCGCAGTCTTGCACTTTAGTCATATTAAGTTCGCCAAAATAAAAGAAATGGAGCATTGCATAAGGTTCAACTAAAAGCTTACTACGGAGTACTCTCTTTCCATGCTACGGAGTATTGGACGAGTCATGCTTGGCAATACTCGGCCTTGGGACTGCGCTATTTTTGACGTGTTTGTTGTTTTGGTATTCAACAAAATCCTCAATAGATCATTCCTGAATGCGCCCATTTGAGTCCCAGCGCTTAACGTCCTGTCCAAGGAACGAGGGCGGCCAAACTTGATCCACCCCCTCCCTACCTGACGTTGGAAGCAAAAATACCAAAGTATGTAAATGTAAGCGGCTGGGTATTTATGCGCAGTAAACCACCCCAAGCGTCAAATGCGCATGGCCTCCCAGCTCTATCTACAGTACATTATACGTCGCTTTTCTTGTTCACAGTTGGAAGTGTATGTATATTTCATTCCCTGAGGGCGGCCATGTATCGTGTCATACATGACAATACATATATTCTGTGTACTGGTGACGTATGGTATTATACAAACGCGATACGGTACTGTCGGCATCGTATCCAATCAGCGAGACTCTTTCTCACGTGCTGCGCCTTTCCTGAACCATCGGGACCTTATTCCATCTACCTTTCTCCAAAGATTCCGTTTCTTCTTCCCTCGCCGTCCTTTGGTTTTAGACCGCGCTACGAAAACCATACTTCCCTTTGCCTGACATCACTCACTGTTACCGGGGTCTGCTGAACTTAAGCAGTGCTCAAGGACCTTTACGGTATTCCTTCTCAACTGTTGATCTATTTCAAATGTTTATTCCTAATACTCGTTTTATCTCTCATCTCGCATCAGCTTAACATAATCTTAACCCAGCGAAAGCAGTCAAGGTATGTTTTGCAAAATTTATCGTCCGGATGCTGCGAAATTATCTCATATCTATCCGTGCTTGCCCTGCTCTTCTCCCCCTCATTTGATTTAAAGAAATGCATCCTTGGATTTTCGCCCCTCCATCTTGTGGTCAAAGCCCACCATCAAAATTCGCGGGATACTGCTATGATAATCTGTTTAACTGCGTGATTACTTGCCCGGGTGATTCTGTTAGCCCTTTGCGTCTCTCTGCTCTTCATTCTCGACCTAGACATCCCTAGACATCCCTTATTCACCGTTTTCAAGGTTGTCGATCCAGCCCCAATTTCGGCGGAGAGTTTCCAGCTTTATCCTGCCTATCGTAATGGAGCTTCTGTCTGATCCCTCATCATAGTCGTTTATTTACGGAATCCTTATCAGAGGACTATTTTTATTTTGGTTTCGCTTTTACCACTACTTCTCTCCGAACTAGTAGCTCGTTTTTGCTCAAGTTGATTAGCCCTTCTCCTCCGTTCTATAACAACTGATGCATATAATGCTAATATCCCCTTCTGATCATTAGTGTTTAGAGATTGTGAATACGGGGCTTAGAGACACGAAGGTTTCCCACACTTCCTGGCCTTGTTCCTGCTGTCCTCGCGCGTTTAAATACTCCCACGATATTCGAAAGGACCCTCGTATTCGGTGTGTGGCGGTTGTATTAACTTGCTTTTTTCACTGCTGAGGAGAGGGGATGGAGACGTATAACGGACATGTCCGCACACCCGCGGATGCTATTATCTTATTCGAAGCCTGCCGCATCGGGCTTTTACCGCGAGTCCAGAGAAGATTATCAGAGAAGGAAAGGCAAGCGGTTAAATCTGGCTCTGTGTTTGTTTGGGATGAACGGGAAGCCGGAATGAGAAGATGGACAGATGGAAAATCATGGAGCGCAAGCAGGGTATCGGGAAGCTTCTTGACCTACAGAGAAATGGAAGGGAAAAGAGGTGGCGGCCATGGTACGCAGGCGTCAAGGGCAGGGAAAACTCCTGACAGTAATAGAGGTAGCGATGAAGATCCCGGAGAGGGTGGGGAGGAAGGCCCAGATGGATATCGCTATAAGCCGGATGGATTAATGAAACAGTCCTTCAGTATAACAACATCTACGGGTCAGCACCTCCATTTAATAAGCTATTACGCACGATCCCACCCAACCGCTCCTGGATTGAATCAGCCATCCACTGATCCAGCTCTGCGACATATCCGCCCACAGAAAGGCTTATATCCTGAATCCAGTGTTAACGATCAACAAAATCTACCCGTTGTGACCCGTGGCCCTATGTCCAGACCCGGATTTTCAATATCACCGCACTCGCTCCCGTACGCTCGGCCCGGTGCTGCGCACGCTCAACCATATGCTACCGCCCCGTACAACTGGCATCCACCTCCTATTACAAGCGCACCACATGTTGCAGTCATGCCGTATCCTGCCTATTTGCCTCCTCTTGGGGCCTCCGATGGGCATTCATCCATTCCATATGGACACCACCCACACCATCCCCAACTACCCGCTCCGTACGAAAGATCGGTGCATCCAGCCGACTCTACACTCCCGCCTCCAATGCAACAGCACCTCCCAAATGCTGCTAGCGGGCAGGTTGTCCCTTTCTATACTCCCGCTCGATCTCCAAGGTCCCACCCACCAATCATCATAGGGGCTCCAAGAATGGGTTCTCCCGGCCACCCTCATGGGTCACCACATAGCCACGCCCAGGCTAATGGAACCTCACCTAAACATGCTCCTAGCCCTGCCCCGTTGAAGAACATCCCACTCCATGACAATGGCAGCCAAGATAATAATAACAACGCTGTATCATCTTCATCTGCTACAAAGGTTCCAAGCATCAATGCACTTATGAACGGCCCACTCCCTCCATCGACACTTGCCCCCGCCGGGACCTTGTCTAGTATTCTTGACGGATCACAGCCGCAGGCTCGAGCAAATGGCACAGGTACCAGAAGCCCAAAACCCTATGTGAGCTCAGGCAATGGACCGAAAGACATCCCCAGTGAAAAGATTGGATTTGGGGAAGATATGAGGGCGTTGAGACAACTTGATAAGGTCTTTACTGCCTGATTTACCTACGAGTGATCTCATTTGAGATACTTTTATCACAAGGATGTATAATTTATTTTCTCAACACTTAGGCGCACGTTTACAGACTGGCTTTCTGAAAAAGCGTGTGATTTTAGCGACCCCACGGGAATACCTGTTTTTCTCGGGTGGGGTTTTTGTTACAGGTCTGCATGGGCGTTTTGTGAATTAGGTGTGGTCTCCGTATCTACGAGAACTACCTGTGGATGCATTTAAAACTGGGATGGGAAACTACATTTTACATGGGAATGGACTAAAATCGGGCAGGCTAGGGTGTGTTTCTCTCATTGTTGTCATCACCATCATCATCATTGTTGTTGTTGTTATTATTATTATTATGACAACTGTCTTGCTGAGTCCGCGTTTTACCCTGTTTTCATATCTAGTATTTATTATGAAGAGTTTTTTATAACTTCCAAGGTTTCTCAACATTGAAAGAGGGATGAATGTGTTAAATAATGTTTGTTCTTTCTAACCATTTTTTTCCCCCGGGGTGCCGCGATGGAACCCAGTGTTCCTTTTTGTATCATTTTCTTCCTATTGTAACACAAATACATGGCAAATTGCTCCCGGTATATCTAAATGCAATGGCGGGGGCTTGCTTCCGTCTTCCCTTCAGCCAAAAATCCATATCGAGGTGATCGATCTTCCTGCAGCACTAGCCTTCAAATTGTGCCTGTAAATACTAACGGTATAACACCGTCTACGAGACGCCTGATTCCTAAGAGCAGTTGTTTGCATATTTGCTAGAGTACATCTACGCAGTAGATATCGATAAAGTGAATGTGTTTTAAGTCAGAAAGATGTGCAATCATTCACAAAAGGTAACTGACTGACTGACTGATGTGGATTATCCAGGATTATTAGGCAGTAAATGGATTGCCAACTCCAACCTTTTTACGGACGTATGGTGCATCATCTTTCAGTAAACGGACTACGGCTCAATATCAACCCGGTGTGTAAATGGCTTCTCCCTCATTGTCTCGCCCACATCAGCAAAGTTACCAACACACCGGGGGGGTGTCATCCAGGGCCACTGGTTCATCCGTACTCCGTAATTCAGCTCAGCAACGTAGTAAGTACTAGCCCGTCTGCGTGTTCCAAGATTAGAAAACCTGCAGCCACATTAGTATTTATATTTGCAAATATGCTTAATTTCGTTCCGCGACTATAAATAATTTGGCGAATACAAAACGTTATTTATTTAAGCTTATATATACTTGTTCATGTCTGAACATTTCTAGTAACCACTTTTGTTTCTAGACATTTTATGGATATATGTATAATATTAATTTCCGCTTATCTTCACGCACGGATGAATATATGAGAGCAAATCCCTACTTGGGTGTCTAGGAAATACTCCAAGGAAATGGCGAGCACCTTGGCACATGTATGGATTTCGCTATGCGGCTCCGAACCCCGATATCATCCATGTCAAGGCGCCAGGCTCCGGGGGGAAGGCACATAGTTAGGACATCGGCGCATTTCAGTAAGCACACATAAGTGCGACCCAAGCATTCGCAAGATGAGGGTAGGGGCTCAAGGCTAACACCGTGATCTAAAACATGACAGCTTCAAACCATAAGCTGAGCTAAAGACTACTTAAAATTTCGGAGAAGGGGAGGGGGACCAAAAATCCTTGTCGACCAAGCCGGAGATATCTTGACAAGAATGTCACTCAACTCGATTATTCCCTGTCATCTATGCGATATAAAATCGGCGAAGATTCGTGTTTCTAGCGAATAGACTTGAAAGTCCAATTGTAAAGGTTGCAAAGCTTATTTTGCTCCATGGACTTCGTAGCGGACGATTGAGATAGAAATAGATCTTGCCCGAAGGATCGGGGAGGTTGTGAAACAGATCCTTACAAAACTGAGACTGAAAAAACGCTGATTCAATGAGACGCAGTGCGTTGATTGACAGTTCTCCAGCCATCAAAGGATTCTTGTTAGTTCATGTATGGATCCGAAGCGTATTGGGGCTTATTGGCAGGAGTGAATGGATAAAAAAATTATATATTTATTATGTCTTGAGTCCAGTTTGCAGTGATATATTCCAAATTAAGGTCGAATGCAAAAAACATGTCCAAATTTAGGGGGTAGTAGATCTCTAAGAGTCGTACACAATTTATAAACCAATATTCCAAAAATAAAATAGGAAGTAATGAAAAACTCATATTTCCTTGTTTCCCTGAGGATCCACAGCCAGCGTTCTCGTGAATCAATCATCAACCGGGTCGTAACGGAGGTTGGAAACAGTCCAACATCCTATGGTCATCAGGAAGCCGTTTTTGCTTTGTGTGCGCCTCTATTCAGGCGCGGCACGATTGATATATGTTGGGGGTCCCGGGTTGGTTCAACCCCTCTACCATCAGCACACACAGGTGGTGAGATTGAGCTCTTTTGGCCCAGTGGCCTAACAATATAATCGCCGAGCCTTCGCGAACACACCTCCTTCCCAGATCCCAAGCGCCTGAGTTTCGCCAAGCTTTTCCAGACTGTATGTACCATGAACGATGTATATAGAAAAATCCCAAGAAATAAACGGGCGCAGGAAACTGATACTATAAATAATAAACCAAAATTGTTCAGACATCCAACATACTCCTCACTTTTTGAGGTGGTTGAGTTTGATGAAGCGTCTCTCCGGATGAAAGTGTTGCCTGACTGCCCGACCTACTAGGAGGCCGCATTTTCTGACCTGTCGGATTCAATGGTATAGAAGTGTTAATTCTTGAGACCGAGTCCGCTATTGGATCGTTTGGTATAATTTTGCTTGGACTCTCCACATCATAGGTATGGCCACTCTGGTCCCGCGTGCCCGTAGAGATTGTTCCCATTTCAATATAATGCTCCAAGTTCTTTTGCGTAGGCCTTCCGCCTCCGATTTCAGTAGTCAGGGCTTTTAATCTAGCGTTAGGATCGTTGCCAGACACATGCTGGAAGTCAGGGTGCAATCGACGCCACCAGGCTGGCTTTCGTTTTCCAGCCTCGATACCAAGCTCAGCGTCAGCTGCGCGTCCACGTTCACGGCGTTGCTCAATGAGGTACTTGTCTTCATTAGGATCGATGTAACCCCAGATGTTCAGAACAACGAGAACGAGTAATGCGGGAGCATAGCCAAGCCCGTAGAGCCAACCGGCATTGCCGTCATATTTAACGGGGGAAATATCCCAGGAGAATGTGGACGCAACCCCAAATCCAACGCGGAGGCCTGTTAGAATGATGCAGATGATGAATTTCAAGGGTGCAGAGGTTAAATAGAAAGTAATCAAACTGGACCTGTTTACAGGTCGTTCCTTGTATCTGTAGACGCTGTGCCCAAGGCTATAACAGATGATAACCAAGCACACGACCGCAAGAATGCTCCCCGCTTTAAAACGCCCGTCTGTTGCGGATGGCTTCGCTACGCTCATTGTTTGGTCCTCGCTGCGTTGTTTTGGGATCGAGTTCCAGTTTCTGGGAATGACCATGAAGAAGTTAAGCCAGCCGAAAAGGTAGAAAATCAATGGCAAGTAGAATTCCTGTTTTTCCCTCGTAGAAGCCTCCGAGAATGCAACGGTGTCGCGGTCACAGATCTGCCGTTCCTGCCACGAGCCCCTGTAAATGACGTTTGTTAGTCGCGATCAAAGCCGAAGCATACACGCAGGAATAGAATCATTTGCGCATATAGATTGATTTAAGTACGTACCAATGCCTGACTCCTTCCCATACTGCAGCCAGCAGTCCAGGTAAGAGCAGGTAAAAAAACAAACTCTGGAGAGAAAGGGCAAGTCCTTGCAAGTAGTTCCGATCGACATCAATGCCCATGAAACAGCTTATCGTGCCACAGGCTGCAACGAAGAGCATCCAATACCACTGCCATCTCCTTCCAATGACCCTCCATCGTTTCTCTAACGGTAAGAACCGTTTCCCATGCTTCCGCAGGTTTATCAAGGTGAACATTATCGTTATTGCAAACATCGAAGCGAAAGCAATCCCGGCACTTCCCCTGGCCTCGAGGCCCTCGACCGGAAAATAACAAGAAGTGGCATTAATAAATGATCCGTTTGATAGCATAGAAGGCTGGTACATGCCAAATGAAAGCCAACAGTTCGAGCCGTTTGATAGAGTTCCATTGGAATAGAGGATATAATTGAAATATTCTAGCGCGGTCCGATTGAAGTGAACATAATTGATCACCGTGTCCGTAGCATTGTCTCCGTTTTCAGGGAACGATAAGAGTTCCCTTATCTCAACGAGAGGCATGGCTGATTTAAAGAAGTGGGAAAAAATGTGTGCGGAGCCAGATTTATGAGGAGTGATCAAACATCGCTGAAGTAAGGATAGCCACCTCGACGGCAATCGGAACCCCAGGGCACCTGAGGACAATGAAATGCAGTAGCAATCGTAGAGATCAGATTGTTCACGAATGTTTGGCAGCGGGGATAGAAATTTTGTGAGCGGGATATCGGAACCCTGATTGACAAACGTCAGACGTCAGCGGGGAGGGTCTCGGCAGAATATATTTCCGAAATCCGGGAATACACCGTATTTCCCAAACCGGCAATGAAAAAGGACTCGTATAACTTATCTCAGAATCTCAGCCACTGCCCAGATATTAGGGCCTGTTCGGTGATTTTTTCCGTACAGTGCCAGGGCTGTACAGAAAGTGGATATTTAACTTCTGACAGTATAAACCTTCATTATTGCCACCTTTCCTTATATAAATAGTAGTCTGTTTAATGTTTTAATATTACTTTTTTTCATACAAGTAGTTTATTATAATAATAATTATCATATTATTTCAGTGAATACATTTATGAATAAGTGTAATGTAATCAATCACTTAATACTCATTTTCACTCAATACTCACCTTTGTAAATTAATTACAATCAACTTCAAATATTAATATCTTAATAAATATTTATTATTTTAACTTTTTAATTTGTAATTTATAAATATTAAGACTTATATTATAATATAATTTAAAAGTGAATATCACAGTTTTTTATTCAAAAAGAAGTGATTACAGAGAATGAAAATAAAATAATAAAATAAAAAATAAAAGTGAAAAAAAGTAATAAAAACTATTAATTATAACAGGTATTAAATTTAATAAGAAATGAGAAAGTGAATATTAAGTTTATTTTAAATATAATTTAATTCTGCTTCATTACAGTCTGTAATAAATATGTATAAAATATGAAAAAAATCAGTTTATTATAATCTTTTTATATATTATAGAAAAACTAACTATTCTGAGTAAAATACTCTGTAATATAATCTTACATAATATTATATATATTTTATTAAATTTATAAATAGACTTTGTAATAGACTGACTATATAACTGTATCTGAGATTAGAATCAGAATATTTAATAGTTTCATTATTAATTTAATTAATTTTATTACACAGTATTAAGACTAGATAATAGTCTTATACTATTTCAGTAAGACTTACTATCTACTCTTATTATATTTTTAAAATAAGACTATAATTTTTAGTTCTTAATTTAAATTCATTTTATTGCTTTAAATGACTTTAAATCTCATTTGAGTATTATCAAAAATTATTACTTTCTAAAAAATTAAAAACAGTCTAAAAAAACCTTAAAATGTCTAAAAATAGTAACTTTATATCAAGATTGAGACTAAATAGAATTAGATAAGATTACTTTTTTATTTTTTCTAAGTTATAGTCTCATTTTAAGATCTAATAAATAGTTACTTTACATGTTTTTTAATAATTAATCTCAGCAGAATTTATACTAAGAAATGTATAAAATCAGTCTAAATAAGACTAAATATGAAATTTATAGTCTCACTGATCAGTTTACTCTGCAGTCTATATAACTCTGATACTAATCTTTATTCTCTTTTTTACAGATATTTTCTACTATATTTACATTCTTTATATTCTTCTCTACATTTATTACAATCTATACATTTATTGATATACTTTATTTATTATAGAAAAATCAACTTTTCTATGTAAAAAACACTGTAATGTAATATTATATATATTCTATTAAAAATATTTAAATACTCTAACTTATACAGCTTAGATTAATTTTTAAATCTTTATTCTTTTTTTCATTCTGCTTCTTTCATACATTCTCTACAGAGAGTACTATCAAAAGAATTACACTGCTTAGATTTAATTATACAGCTAAGAAGTATTATCATATTTTAATAAGTAATTATATTTAGCTTTAAATTACTCTGTATTCTGATTACTATGTATTCTGAATTGTGATAAAGGTAATATAATGTAGTAGTTAATTATATTATCAAGATCTATCTATTGTGCAGCCTTTTATATGTGTAGGCATTTGTCAAGTGATCAGTGAACATCTCACTTATACAGAAGTAGTCAGTCTGTAGAGAGAAAATCTAACACCTCTTTTAATTATTACTCTGCTGAGTAGACACATGTAACTCAGCAGAGCAGTTCTATAACTACAGAGAGAATATTACATATAAAATAGTAGTGTCTTCTGTCAAAGATTTCGCGGAGAACTAACAAGAATTTGAAGAATAAGAAAATAAATAAGATAAACAGTAAAATGAATGAACTATTATAGAAGTAGCAGAATGATAAGACTCTGTATTTATCAGAATGCCTTCAGAGCTTTTCTAACTGTAGGCATACAGATCTCTATATTAATCAGAGCATCTTCATGAACTTTAACTATTAAAGCTTTCATTAGAGTATTCACAGTTATATCAGTGATATCTATTTATATAATTTTAACAATGCCTGCAGCTGCAGTATTACAGATGTGATGATATTTGATATTAATATAATGTATATTATGAGTAATCTTTTCATCATTCACTACAGCAATTGCTCTGTTATTGTCAATATATAGAAGAACTGTAAAATCAGAGAATAGAAATCCAAGTTTCATAAGTAGTCTGTGCAGACAGATTACAGTTTTGAAACTCTCAGAAACAGATATATACTCTGCTTCTATAATACTCAGTGTCACAATTATCTATTTAATAAATTTCCACATGATTGATCTGTCAGTGAGACAGATAAGAAGACTTAATATAGATTTACAGTTGCTGATATCACCTGCTCAATCAGAATCTGTAAAGACTTCAAAGTTAAGCTCTTTCACTCTGATGATATAATGAATATAGTGATCAG